TGGAGTCACATTTGCATCACTGCGACACACACTACCTTGTTTCTAAGTATAAATCAGCCTTAAAGGGGAACATCGGTTTTTTTACATTGGCCCCTTGATTTTACATTATTACATCATGTTCTATTCACCCATATAAGTTTTGTGTCATTTGGAGCTGTTCTGAACATATTCGGTTTTGTTATATCCAAGTATCATCTTCCTATGGGCAACGACATGAAGGCACAAACTAAACTGTTCATAATTTATAATTGTGGTTATATTTTCTATATTTATATTTTTTTAAAACAAAGCAGAGTTTGTATGACGTCATCCGCATCTTTGGAGACTTGTGACCCCAAGATTCCACTCTTTGCTGCAATTCTGTGACAGTAAGCGTAGGACTTTTTTTTACTTCTCTTACCATCCTCCTCACTGTGCATTGTGGCAAGATAAACTTGGTAGCTCTTCCAGCCTTGTTTGTCACTGTTCCAGTTGTTTTAAACTTCTTAATGATTCCTCTGACTGTAGATACAGGCAAGTTAGGGCAAGTGGCTATTTTTTGTAACCATTGCCCATCTTATGAAGTTTGACGCACATCTGCCTTACTTGAATTGTGCGTTCTCTCGTTTTTGCCATGCTGACTAACTGGTAAGAGAATTAGGCCTCTGCATCACGTCATATTTATACCCCAGGGAAACAGGAAGTCATGATTTACTAATTAAAATCCTAGATACCCTGATTAACTTTAGCAACTACAGAAAAATACATTTAAAGGAAATCAATTACATTTTTTTAGCGGAATTGTTAGGGGTGCCAATAATTGTGGGACACATGATTTCCTCTTTTTTATTTTCTAAATGTGTGATTTTATTTTTTAACACCAAAGTAATGTACTTAAATAAAAGGTTGGATTTTTCTCTTTTTTTGCATTTGGGTTCTTTATTTTTTAAAAGAAAAGGAGAATTTTTTTAAGTCCTCGACTACATCTTAAACAGGGTTGCCAATAATTGCGGAGGGCACTGTACTGTTATTGCATGTGTAATGAGATAAACTTGTTTTAAGTCTAGCATATACCATTAAATAAAACACTTAATTATTTCACTGGCAATAATGTAATATGTTTTAACTAAAAAGATAAGATTTTCAATTAAATCATTCCCATTACGCAAAAAAAATTACAACAAGGCTGCCACATGTAAAACTTTAATTATTTAAAAACAAAACCGTTTTTTAAGCATTTCACCCAAAATAATGATTTTATCCTTAGCATGCATAGAACTTTAACTCAATGTTTTCTTACTCCTTTTAGATCAGTTTAAGTCAGAAACAGAACAAACTTAATGTGTTAACAGTCAGCTGAAAGTTGATCTAAACGAATTACACTTCAGAGCCAATTTTAGAGGGGGGAAAAAAGGAAAACAACTAAGGGCTTAAGGTTAACATGTGACTGCAGGACAATGTGACATACTGCTAAAAGACAGAGAACAGGCAGCAGCAAAAAGGCTGAGAATAAAAAACAGAGAAGAGATATGGAATTATATTCTATTGTATCTCTAATCTAACGAACATGTCGACCAGCAGACTCTGATCCTGATAACATGCTGAGGAATGCACACTGAAAACGTTATTATTAAAGCCCTGACCAGGATATGGTCCTCAATAAAATTTAGACAGATATCATTAGGTTTAGGAGAAACTACCAAAATCCAACTGGAAACTGGTGTAGAGGGCAGTGAGGAATCATTCCAGCAAAAAATAAACAGAAAACCTCATTATACTTATGAAACATTTTGTTTTTTTTGTGACCAAAAACTTAGAATACATTTGGCAAGTATGTATTGTGTAATTTTCATGGTGTAATGTATCCATTTATTGAAACCCAATTAACTGTACATTTTTGTGGTCCTCTGATTCTATTGCTCATGCACTCACTGCTCTTCACTTCAAGGTGGTTATTTTTCACCCTTAAGACAAGAGCAATATATTCACATGAGAAGAAAAATATCAAGAAGATAAAAAGTCAGCACAGACACCAGGGCAGAGCATGAGGAAGGGGTAAAGATAGAAAAGTAAGAAACCAATGTAATGAAAATAGATGTAGACATAAAAGAAAAGAGGAAGAGCTGTCATCATATCAGCTACTCAGCAGAGTGTGCAATATCTCCCCAGGATTTTATTAACTTTATTGTTTTTTAATTAAACAGTCTTTCATATAGTGGCATGTTGAGCCTTTTTACCAGATGCCTGTGGATGGGTTTGTCTCTGTGTTTCTGTCTTCAAAATATAAAAGATCATATTCTGCAAACTACAGGTGGTGAGATCAGACAAACATAACCAAATAGAAAAGCAAAGGAATCATTACCATTTAAATAACATCTCTGGCCCATGTCTAATAACTAACACGAATGTAAGCTATAAAATTCTGAAGGTGCGTATAAATTTGCATGTGTGTGAGAGTGGCCTCAAAGAGATGAACTGAAAAAAAAAGATATTCCTTTCATAAAAAAAAGAATTGGTGGAGCTCAGAGATAAGAATCACTTAGTGTGTGTACCACCTGATAACTATGTGTGCTAAGTACTCATTTAAGGTAGAGAGAGTACTTTGTGTATACAATTTTAACTTCATGAACCTTTGCAAGCACAAATAAGATTATACATATTTCTAACTGGATGACACAGATAACAAATTTGTATTTAATGATACGGAACTTTAATGGCGGCTTATTTTGCTTCCTAGCTGAGAGTTAAATGAGAACGTAGCAACGATGGTGGAGAGTAAATGACAAGATACAGCCAGAAGCTGGATAGCTTAGCTTTAGGTCTGGAAACTCTGGGGGATAAATGATTAAAACCCCCACTTTTATTAGCTACCTGCAGAGATTCCTGGTATTTATTCCATTTCGCAATAATGTTTGCAACATTAGCTGTGATAAAAGCATAATGTATTTTACTGTAATTTATATACAGTGCCTTGGACATGCATGAATATATGTTATTGGGTAAAACCAGGTTTAAAAAGCCAGGACAATCAGGAACAAAAAGAGAGGGCTTTAATAACTACTACTCCACAAAAATATTTTTAACTGACCAGTTTATAAATACCTACATTATCGAAAAATGTTAAAAACTGCAGGCAAAGGGTATTCAATTTTATATTCTCGTACATGCAGTTTTTAGCAAAAATCTTAAACGTGCATAAATTCTGTGACACCCTGGCATCTGAATTTAAAGCTGGGTTGAAAAGTGTGTGAGATGAGAGGTTACTTTTTTGCAATGATATATCTTTTAGAATTGTCTAATACTCCAAGGTACATAAAATGCATCAATTACATTTAGTGTAAGCAAATATAAGAAATTATCATTAACATCTAAATATAGTAAAAAATATTCTTTCCTTGTTGATTGTCACAAAAACTGATTTTTTTTTTTTTTTTTAAGTAGACACAAGAACAACTACTTAATGTAAAGTCTGACTTGATTTTAACCTTTACATTCCCTTTTTGTTTCATTCTGTTATCAGCAAATAATGGGAATAAAAATGTGTGTCCTTGAAGCTGATGTATTTTTAATTGTAAGAGTAGAGGAAATGCTACTTTACTCTACCTTCTTTAACAGGAAGCTGCTCAATAGACAAGTCGTCTGAACAAGTCTGACTTCCTCTTTGTCAATAAACAAGAACAGTCACAGACACTTGCATCCAAATTCATTCACCTACTCACACATACACAACCCAACACACACACAGGGGAGTTGGCAGACATCAGTCAGGCCCTGTGGTTATGAGTTTTCATCTCTTTCATTTTCATTCCTCAGTTTCATCATTCTCTTGCCTCTTGCTCCCTTGCCCCGCTCTGATTCTCTCCTCTCTTTCTTTTTCAGCCTTATTGTTTTTCATCACATCTCCATTGCTCTCTTTTTCTGTTTTTCATTCAAACTCATTGCTTTTATTTCTGTCTCTTTCTCTTTCATATCAACCTTTTTTTGCCCGCGCCGTCTCTCTCCCTCAGGCTAGCTGTGTTTATATTTCAGTCGTTTATTTCTACAAATGTCAGACAGTGTTTCTGCCCTCCGTCTATTGATCCACAGAGAGCCAAGAAGATGAGGGGAGTGAGGCACAGGGAAAGGGTGGAAAGCAAATTACTATGAAAAAAGTAGGAATATAAAGGAGGAGCTGCAAATATTAGTTAAAAGATAGATAAATATAAAACGGTTCAGGACTGAGAGGAGTAACGAAAATGCTATCTGAGAAACCATAGACTGGGTTTTTCTTTTTAATATATCCTCTCACTTAACTCCCCATGCACTGAATCTCTTCTCACTGTCCGCATATGTCCTTGCCAAATAAAATTTAGATTCTAATACAAAAGGGAAACAATTGATTAGGATAGTTAAAAAAAAAATTGTTGGAAACAAATATGCACAAGAAAACCAAGCTACTCTCTGAGTATATGTACTTGTGATGGAGAGCAGAGGCTCCATCACTATTAATTGATATTTATTTATAGAACAGATAGTTTTTTTTTTCATTTCTTTATTTCAGTTTGTGATGTGTTAATTGGGGTTTACCTTTCTTGTGTGTCTCCTTAGAAGGGTGGAGCATACCATGTGAGCTAAGAAGGATAATACTTTAAAGTTAAGTTACGGTATATTAAGTTTGATTTAATTTCTTGATTGACTTTAGGATTAGTTGTTTCTAAGTTGCATGCATGTAAATATTTATTTGTGCCCTTTATTTTGTGTTGGGTTTGTAAATAATTTCTTGTTGTTTTGTCACCCCTTCACCTGGTGTGGAGTGGGAGTGGCCAAAAGCTAAAGCCAGCTGCTGTGCTTGGCAGTGAAGGAAATGGGTGTCGGTGTATTGGTGAACTGCAGCACCAATAAAACATATTCCACCAAATCTTGTTGGGTTGCCTCACCTCCTTCTAACACAGTGCCGCCCTCTCCGGTGACAGTACTTTTCCATGCTGTATAAGAATGCTTATCTATAAAGATTTAAATTTACCAGAGTTTTTCTGTCTTACCTGCACATTTTGTCCGAGTAATGAGAGCTGGTCCTGCTTTTCCGGTCCCTCCCTCACCTGGTCTCGTTAGTAAAACTCTGATCTCATATTCTGTATCTGGATCTAGGTGCCATAACTTGTAGTTGGGAGAATTCACAGCATGAGTCTCAGTCCAGGTGCCTGATGTCATCCGGTATTCAACCTGAAGAGAGATCAAATATAAAATAATTATGTTGTTGATGTATTCAGGATTCTTAGCTTTACTTATAATTTACTATTTTAAAATCTATCCCTTGTAGAGGTGAATTTCTGAGGAGTTGTTAATGTACTCTCCTAGTCCTTCTTTCTCTCCTATATAAATTTCTCCCTACAAACTTTTACCCCACCTCTCTTTTTTCTTTCCTTTTCCCTTCTTTTTCTGTGTCTATTTGTATTTAAAACAATCTCCAAATAATTTCTAAGTTTTAAACTTTTCTTTGTATATTGTGAAAGCAAAAAAGTTGGGCTTCTCCTTGGCACCCTGTCAATAATTCTAAGTACTACACGCCTGGACATGGAAATAAAGACAACCTAATCCATTTCTCATGGTAGGCACCTGACATTGAAAAGGTAAATAATACAAGTGGAAATTAGTTTTAAAAGGCATTTCTCAAAGTATTGTTTCCTTTCTCTGAACATTTAAATATGTGACTTGTTTGTTGAATGCACTTTTGAGAAATGACTCAGTCAATGCGATTACAATTTTAAAACGTTCAATTAAATTCTTGAAAACTATTTATCATATAATGGGAACACACCTCTTTAAGTATAATAGGTCCATCACCAAATATGGAGTTGGCATTGAGCTGAATCAGTAGGTACGTCGGGCCGACGCCTAACAGCTGGGGTGGAGCTATCGGGTGTGGGGGCTCTGAGAAGAAAACAAAACAAGAGCAAATAGTTCAAATGTGCTTCTTAACATATAAATAGCAATATGAAAAAAAGCTAAACATTTAACAGAAATGGTCGTAAGAAGAAAACATAGAGGAAAAAGTAAGAAATAAGAAACCTACTTTACATGATGCTAAAAGAAAAATTGATTGGCTTCCATGTCAACCGTTAGAGTCCATCTATATGCCAGTTTGACATGGTAAATGGCATGTACTTATATAGCGCCTTTATTCAACTTAGGAGACTTGACCAAAGCGCTTTACACTACATTCATTCATCCATTCACGCACACACTCACACACTGATGGTGGCAAGCTACGTTGTAGCCACAGCTGCCCTGGGGCTCACTGACAGAAGCGGGGCTGCCGTACACTTGCGCCACCGGGCCCTCTGACCACCATCAGTAGACAATGCAGGTGAAATGTCTTGCCCAAGGACACAACGACACTGAAAGTCGGAGTCGGGGCTTGAACCGTCAACCCTTCGATTTCAGGGCAAACTCCTACATCCAACGCCACTGTCGACATTGACAAGAGGAAACAATCTTTCCTATCTCACCCCCCAAAATGTGCCATTTAATCAGCTCTACTAAGTTTCCCATTACTGAGAAGAGAGAAGGTTCGGTGTTCAGTGCAGTTTTGTTTCTTTGACCTTGTCATGATCTTGGCAATGATGTCTGGTCTGATTACTCACTTCATTCACCTGCTTATCTCTGCCTAGTACCTCATTACCATTCATCTGATCCACCTGCTTCAGCCTCTATTTAACCAGCCTTCAAACCAGTCATCAGTGCCAGATTATTCGAGCCTTTGGTAAGAGTTCTCTAGTGTACCTGTGTTTTCTGATTGCCTTATCATGACCCGTTCTGCCTCTGGACTTCTGGGCCTGCCTGTTCCTGTTCTGGTTTGCCTGACCTGTCTTTGGACTTCTGTCGGAATGCTGCCTGCCTGTTTACCAAACCTGGAACTGTTTCCACACTCTTTTCTGGATTTCCCTTTAGTACCTCTTCGGACCTCTGATCTCCTGGCTCCGACTATCGAGCACATGACCGACACCGGCTTTGGCCTCACCCACTGGATTATCCTGCCTTCTTTTGTCTAGCTGGTTCTGATCTCCTGCATGTCCTCCGAAACACCAGCGCCTGGGACTCTCTGGACGGCGCCTGCCGCTTCTCATTGGCAGTCACCGGCTGGAACCGGTGAAACACTGTTCACTGTCTTTAATAAACGTTTTGTTAAATCTGTCTTTCTGCCTCAAATACTGAATCCTTTTGTTCTGAGCCTGAAAAATCTATCTCTTTAAATGTTACTTGCTCTTAAAAGTACTGTGTTAGTTCAGACTGCTGATACTAAAATAGCAATAAAAACATGTAGTATATGGCAAGAAATCAAAGCTGCTGTAATACAATGACCTTGTAAAAGAGAGAGGGACACTTGTCATTTCTGTACTGGTAAGTCCTCTGATGCATTTCAAATCCAGAAGCATTGCTACATTTAGACTTGACATGCCTGCTTATCATAATACCAGCATCTACCTGCAGGCTCTTTTCCATGGTGCTGATATTTACCCTTCACTTACCAATATCTCTCCACAAATACATTTTAGAAAGAGTGAGGAGGTCAGAGCCTACAGGCCACAATGTATGCTTACTTGTGAGATTGTTGCTAGGATAATAACACAAGCTGGCAACCTGGATAAAAATTGGAATTAGATTGGTACAAGTCAAATTTTGCACTATGCACTATGTTTTATACAAATGTAAAAATATGAGAGACTGGTATAATTAAAAAATAGTAAGGATTACATTGACTTTCCTTTTATTATTTGAAAGACTATGCACAATGGATTTTACTGTTTCCAGTTAATAAATTGTGTTTAATCATGATAAAAAATAATTGTGGATGTCTGATCAGTAAACTGACTGACAGCTACATGACATAGTCATATAGGCATAAATATATCAGTGCATGCATTTATCTCTTCTAACATAGGAAACATTACTTTCTATACAAGTATTGGGAAGGGTCCTACTTTTAAAGACGGTTCTATTATTTTTGCTATATTTGCTAATGTCAATCATATCAAAGTTATCTAAATTAAATATGAGGGCCTGGGTGTTACCATGTGAGTTTGCTCCAATATTAGTCACATTTTGCGTTGTTGACACCTTTTTTTTCCCTTTGTGTGAGCCTGTGCTGGCATCTTTCTGTGCAGAATGTGGCTGTCAGAAGGTTCATGCTGGGAAGAGACTTTTTTAGAAACAGATAAAATGCTGAAGTTTGACAGCACATGCACATGTGCACACACACCCGCATATGCACACAAAACCGCAGGCGATTGGAAATGAATCTAGATAATGAATGTCAAAATAACTTAGGAAATCAACAACGTAAACAATATGTCAACTTGTAACAGACAACTAGATTATTGAGGATAAAATCAAGAAATTAATTAAAACCATATTGTATATTTCTAAAAGATTGAATTCCTGTTTTATTTTAACTTGCATGTAGTGCTAAATGTACAAAAATGATAAATTTGCCACTTCATCTAAATGATAAATAACTAATATAATCTAACTGGGTCATTAAGTAACTCTAGAGAGGAGAAAACAAAAGCTGGTTTGAAAATAAGCGGAAGTCTTTTTCTCTTCCGTCCCTTGTCATTAGTACAGTTAAACTCAGTTTTCTCTGGTTACTCTTTGTTGCCACCTATTGCCCCTTTCCTTTCCCCTTCGCTACGTTCTAGCTGCTACTGTCTACATCTGCTCCCATATATATATATATATATATATATATATATATATATATATATATATATATATATATATATATATATATATATATATATATATATATATATATATATATATATATTTGTTATTTACCTCATTTTAAGTAATAAAAACATTTGTTTGGACTGCGTTTGCACTTCCCCAAAGTCAGGTCAGTGTTAATTAAATAATTAATTCAATTTTAAGGTTCATTTATTTTGAAAGACTTTTTTTTTGTTAAGAAAGAAAGAACTAAACATTATTTTTAACTATGTTTTTCATATATATACTTTCCTCCGATTATCTGGAATATTCAAATGTAATAAAATAAAGAAACAAAAAAAAAACCTTAGGTACTTTTACAAGGACACATACCTTTTCACAGCATTGTAAAGTTTATACTTAAAGATATGTATACATACCATAAAACAGAAACAGGGGCGAACAAAAAGATTTTGTGTGACTTGTTCCCATAAGCCAGAAAACTTTGTTGAACATCATCAACAACCTTGTCAATAGGGTTCAGTTTTTCCAAACATCAAAAGGAAACTCGCTGCAGGACATCTGACCCGGTAAAAAGCAAATGTAGGATTGTATAAGTGTTGAAACAACAGCAGACAGTATTCTGGGACTTTTTATAATGCCTGAAGCTCCAACTATCACTGCTACTTGGAAAGAAAAATTATGTTTGCGTGTATTTTTGCAAGATTGTTAAAAAAAAAAGAAGAAGACAAAGACATTCTTAAAACTTGACTACAGGTGGAAATTGGTTTAATGAAAATCAAACGAGCAGAATGCTCACATGTGAAAATATGTTCCTTCTTTTTCATTTGTCTGACAGTAATACTGCAAGAGATTTTTAGGCCATCAGTTGTGCGTAATGCAAGCTGGCATGGTGATGTGTGTGTGTGTAAACTACAAGCTAGCGTGATGATGCACTCTGTCACAGTAGAAACCAGAGGGCACAGCTTTATTAGAGCTACCCTCTGACCAAACATAAAGTGACACACATATACATACACACACTACAATACACAGTTAGACTCCCTTGTACTTTTCGTGCTGTTTATCTGCAATAAAACTTGTAATGGCAGGACTGCAGCTTGCCATCATTCATCCATCTGTGTAGAAACTTAGGGCTTGGGGCAACTGGACAACAAAATAGTTTTTGTTCACGCTAAAATATATCTATAGCACTGGGGTTTAACATTGAATCAAAATGTTTGATTCATTTTTTAATCTTTACTACTTCATATCAACATTTTGGAGAGAGGGTTACCAACAAAGATGTAATTAAATATGTAATAAATGAAAAGGGCTGGGAATTAGAACATAGTAGTGAAATATAGGATTGAAATATGCACAATGTGTTTACTACTTGGTTAATTAAACTATCTTGCTTAATAAAATCTATGCCCAGTATTGGCATCAATAAAATTCAAAGCCCATCCAACTGGCATAATCCATCTCTGGCAGGCTGAAACCCAATAATTAAAATCTGAAACTAGATGAGGTGTAGCTACAAAGGTACAACTGTTTAAAAAATATATTTTTGTCCCGAAAGTTCCTACTGTTTAATGTAATTTTAAGGCTTATACTGGCAGTAGAGAGTAGAGTGTTCTTCCCAACACATTTACCTATAATAAAGGCCATTATCAAACTTCTTCTTTGCTTTTTAGCTACAGGGACATATTTTCAGTTAATACATTACAGAGATGATAGAAAGGTAATTCCCTGTTTTAAGTTTAGCAACTTAGAGCAAATCGGTTATAAATATACCATTTCAACTGAAAGAACTACAGTAGATGCTTCTAGCTAGGTATAGACTTAGACTTGGATTTATTTTGTCATTTTGTATAAACGAGTGTAAACAAAAAAATTTTTTGTTTAAAACAGCTCTAGACAATTTCATGTTTTAAAGTGCAGCCTCGAAAAACAGTAATAAATACATAAATGCATGTATGCCAATATTGTATAGTTCTAGGCCCGTATATGTCTCCAAGGTTGTGTCCAAATGTCCGTCCTAACCCCTAGATCCCTCAATCACTATATAGAGCGGGGACTATATAGCGGACTTTATAGTGAACTCAGTTAACTGACCGTTCGGACAGATGATCTCTGCTTCTTGCTCCCCGTTGGTCACGTAACTCCTCCTCCACTGCGTGGTGCCTGCGCAATCTTTATTAATCCCCCGACAGCGGGCCGTT